CTTGCCGCTCTCTGGGTTGCTGCATAGTTCTTCTCCTGGGACTTACCTTTGGCAGTCTTTTGTGGTGAATCCCAATTTCTGGAGTTACATTCCTTTCTTTCTTTCTCTTTTTTATTTTCTCTCTCTATCATCCAGTCTGGAGGGCAGCCACATGATCAAAGATCATTGCAAACTCAACCTTCTGGTCTCAAGCAATTCTTCCACCTCAGCCTCCCGAGTAGCTGCGACTACAGGGGTGTGCCACCACACCTGGTTAATTAAAAAAAAAAAAAATTTTTTTTGGGTTGAGGACAGGTCTTGCTATGTTGCCTAGGCTGGTCTCAAACTCCTGGGCTCAAAGTGCTGGAATTACAGGCATGCACTACTGCACCCCACCCTAAATTCCTTTCCTAGTCCTTCATTTTGCTAGATTTCCTCTTCAATCACTTCCTACAAAAAGACACTCAAGAGGTAAAGGGCATTAAGATTTTATGTCTGAAAATGCCCTTATTTCTCCCTGCACATTTGATTGATAGCTCAGTTGGGACAAGAATTCTAGGTTGAAAATAATTTTTTCACTTTTGTAGTCACAACTCCATTGTCTTGTAGCTTCCATTGTAGCTATTGTGAAATCTGATGTCTTTTTTGGGGGGTGGGGGACAGAGTTTTTACTCTGTTGCTCAGACTCAAGTGCAGTGGTATACTCACTGCTCACTGCAGCCTCCAACTCCTGGGCTCAAGTGATTCTCCAGCCTCAGCCTCCTGAGTAGCTGGAACTACAGGCATGTGCCGCCACACCTGGCTAATTTTTTTGTTTTTTGTGGAGATGAGGACTTGTTTTGTTGCCCAGGCTGGTCTTGAACTCCTGGCTTCAAATGATCCCTTAGCCTCAGCCTCCCAAAGTGCTGGGATTACAGGGATGAGCCACCACACCCAGTTTGATGCCAATTAGTGTGTCTGATTCATAGTAGGTGACTTATTTTTTTCTTCTGGAAGCTTTTAAGGTATCTTTATCCATGATGTTCTGACACCTCATGATGATGTGACTTGACTTGGATTTTTTAAAAATTCATTTTTTCTGTGCCCTGAGCAATCCTGTTCAATTGGGTCATTAAAATCCCTCAATTCTGGAAAATATTCTCGTTATTTCCTTGATAATTTTCTCTTCACTATTTTTTCTGATCTCTTTTTTGAGTACTCATTACTTTGAGGTTTGGCCCTCCTGGGTTCCTCTAATTTCCTTGCCTTGTCATATTATTTTTTCAAGTCTCTTTGTATTTGTGTGATATTATCTGATGTATTACTTCAATTTTATGTTCCAACTCTTTTATTGAAATTTTTCTTCTAAGATATTTTTAATTTCCAAGAGTTCTTTCTTATTCTCTGAAAGTTTATACATTTCTTTACAGGTACATAGCCTTCTGTTTTTCTTTTTGTCATGAATACAATGTCTTTTCTTGTCTCTATTTTAATTTCCACTAATTTGATCTTGAGAGGTCTCTGGAGAGTGGCCATAAGCCAAGATATAGCCACTTTCTAGTAGAGTCCTGATGGGGAAGGGATTAGGCTCATAGTAAAAACTACTAGAAAGTGGCATGAAACAGAAGAAATTTATCACTTACAGATCCCAGAGAGGGTAGGGGTTGCTAAGGGTGCTCCCAGTGGGGAGAGGAAATTGGAAGGGGAGAGGAAATTGGAAGGGGAGAAGGGGGTTGGAGAGAGAGAGAGAGAAGAGAGAGGAGGAGGAGCAGAGAGTGGGGAAGGAGAAAGAGAGGATCTCTTAACAAAGACTATGCCTTTGTTAAGGTCTGTGGGCATTTAACCTTTAGACTTTCTGAGGAGGTTGTGGATTGGCTAGCTTAACAAAAACATAAGTGAAGGGGAAGTTTATTTACATGACTCTATGATGACCATTAGGTTTATCATGGTCAGCAGCTGTGGAGTATGTCTCAGGTTTTGGCCAGTGGGATGAGGAACAAGCTGGCTACACCACAAACAATCGCATGGGGTGGGGAAGTTTTAGTTAGACCAAAGAAGGACAACTATCTTGACTTCAAACAGCTCATGTATGTTAGGCCTAAAAATGGATATCAAGGTAAGCAACTATATTAAACAAATTTATGACAGTCTCCCTGAGGATGTTAACTACAGTTTTTGTTTTCATATGTCATCTTCACACAGGGGCCATGCTAATCTTCTCTGTATCAGTCCAGTTCTAGACTGTGTGTTGCTGAAGTGAGCACCAATGACAGTTTTCGATGGTTTCTTTGGTTGCCTACACTGCTCCTGTTTCTCTGGACTTTTTCTTGTCCTGTTTGTTTTAGTGTCTGTCATTCTGGTGATTCTTGGCTAGCCATTTGCATTTTAAAGTAGCGCTACCATACAGCTGTCACGTGGCCAGGCCAGACTTGTTGAATGATGGATTTACAGTGGACAATTGGATGGAGTCCTCACCATTTTGTTAGAAGCCCCCAAAATGTTAGAATATGTAAGTCCTCCAATCTCACTCCCACAGGCTGAAGATTCTATTGGTGTTCTAGGAGCCCAGAAGGCAAAGGGCTGGCCAAGGGGCTGTCTTTATTTAAATCTTTTTTGTTTCCCAGTGAAATTACTCCTTCTTGCCCTCTGCCATCCAGGAGTCTTCTGGCTTAACCCCTTCATCTTCTGGGGTAGGAGGGGCATTGTAGGAGATGAGAGCCTAGGAGAGAGATCTGAGGTTTTTTGTTTTTTGTTTTAATTTGAGTTGGAGTCTCACTCTGTTGCCCAGGCTGGAGTGCAGTGGTACGCTCAGCCACTGCAGCCTCGACCTGCTGGGCTCCGGCGATCCTTCCACTTCACCCTTCCAAGTAGTCAGAACTGCAGGTGCGTGCTACCACGCCTGGTTAATTTTTTATTTATTGTAGACACAAAGTCTCGCCAAGTTGCCCAGGTGGGCTCAGGCAATCCACTCGCCTTGGCCTCCCACAGGCTGAGCCACCAAACTCGGCTGGAGATTTGAGGATTTAACCACCTCCTTGGGCAGATTTTCAGCCCCCTGTGTTCCGGCCCCACCCTACATCCTGGTCTTCAGATGTACCTACTGCCTCTATTTCCTTTTTTTCTATTTTTGAGAATCAATTTGCATAAGTAGAGAGGGTCCAGACACAATTTCTAAAAAAGTTATCTGCTCCTGCCTCTATTTCCTTTTTTTCTATTTTTGAGAATCAGTTTGCATAAGTAGAGAGGGTCCAGACACAATTTCTAAAAAAATTATCTGCTCCTGGTGTTTATTTTTCTTTTTGCTATAGAAAAAATTTCAGACATAAAAAAGAAAATAAGAAAAAAAGATAATGACTCTCTTGCACCATAATTCAGCTTCAATAATTATCAGTACATGACTGATTGGAGTGCCTTTCCCACAATCATTTCAATTAATGTTTTTTGGTTAATTTAGGTTTTCTAATTCTTTTAAAGTCAACTTTGATATTTCTGTTATTTTTATAGTAAAGGATCCATTTATTAGCCTTGTGGCTAAGAGCTATATCATTCCAGAAACAGACTGGATTTGTATCTCCATGTGGGTAGTCATTTAAGCGCTCTGTGCCTCAGTTTCCTCATCTGTAAAATGCGAATAATAATATTACTTATTTCTTCATGTTGTTGAAAAGATTCGATTAAGTCATACATGCAAAGCACTTAAAATAATGCCTACAAAAACAACCTATCAGGTACAATGTTCACTATTTGGGGAACAGGGACAGTAGAAGCCCAATTCCTACCAGAACATAATACTAATACCCATGTAATAAACATGCACTTGTACCCCCTGAATCTAAAAAATAAGAAGAAGAAGAAGAAGAAATGATGCCTGGCACATACTAATGCAAGTTATTGCTATTATTTAAATTTTAAAATTGATTAACATAACTTTTTTAATGGCATTCTCTTATGATTTTAAAGTTCTCTATTTTATTTTTAGTTATGTCCCTTTTTCATTCCTAATATAGTTTACTTGTAAATATTCTCTTTTCTTCTTAATTACTGTTGCATAGATTGCCTATCTTAATAATCTTTTCAAATAATTACCATTTGGATTTATTAACCATCCTATGCTTGATAGTCTTCTGTTTCATTATTTTCCACGATTAACTTTTATATTTACATTCTTCTGCTTTCTTTGGGTTTTCTTTCTTGTTTTTGTTTTTGTTTTTGTTTTTTTGAGTCAAGGTGTCACTCTATTGCCCAGGCTGGAGTGCAGTGGTACAATCATGACTCACTGCAGCCTTGAACTTTTGGGCTCAGGCGATCCTCCTGCCTCAGCCTCCCAAGTAGTTGGGACTACAGGCATGCATCCGCACACCGGCTAATTTGATTTATCATTTTGTAATGGCCAGGTCTCACTACGTTGCCTAGGCTGGTCTCAGTCTCCTGGGCTCACGCAATCCTCCTGCCTCGGCCTCTCAAACTGCTGAGATTACATGCATGAGCCACCACCTCCAGCACTTGTTCTTTTTCTAGTTTAATCTTTAGTTGAATGCTTATCATATTTATCTTTCTTCCTTCCTTCCTTCCTTCCTTCCTTCCTTTCTTCCTTCCTTCCTTCCTTCCTTCTTCATTTCCTCTAAATATACTGCATCCCATAAGTTTCAATAAGTTGTTACAAATGTTGAATTCTAGATATTTAATAACTTCCAGTGTGATTTTCTATTAAACTGTACTAGACATTATTTATATCATGGGTTTAATAGAAAACCACAGTGGAAATTTGGTTTACATATTTAAACTATAGAAACATAACACATTTACTGAGGCTTTTCTATGACCAGGTATGTTCTCTCTTTGTAAATATTTCATTTGTACTTGAAAAAGGGGTATAATCCTTATTTGTTGGAAATTGTATATATACGCGTCTTTGGTTCGTATTTTCTTTAGTCTTAATTTTTTTCATCTGTATTAAGGTCTCCCATTATGACCGTGGATTGTGAAATCCTACCTTTTTAATTGTATACATTCTGAGGCTGTGTTCATTTATTACTCTATAGTCATGAAGGTGAAGGAGGAAAAGGCTGGGATAGGAAAACTGAACCCCACGAACTACAGGAGGAGGTGTGCAAATCAGAGAGGTAAGGTCATGGTGAGGACTTGATGCAAATCCCAGGAGGGACTGAGAGTGTTTGGGGCCCTTGTAACAGCTCACCCACAGTGTCTCCTCAAAGGTGGTGGGACCATGCCATCATGTCCTAAAGGGACCATGTGGTCTGGCTGGAGACAGGAAACTGCCACTTTGCCTGTGTAGATTAGGGTATAGCTTCCCCAACACAAAATGTAATTTACCTGATTTTACAAGATCTACAAAACATAATCAATGCCAAACATCAACATTTTAGAGATTCTGAAACTGGCAATTCAGCTAAAATCATTGGAAAAAGGTGTCGAGGAAAGACATTTCTGCTGCTTCTGAACTTCTGACTCGGAGGCCCCAAGTCTCCCATGCTGTACAGAGAAGAAGCCACAGGGCTTAGGAAGAGCCACTCAGATAGGCTGCTACCCCCCTTCTTACCTCAGCCCACTTGGAGGGAAATGCTATTTTCGCTGCCCAGCTAGAAGCTTGAGCAGCTGTGGAACATGAAGGGCCACTCTGGAGTCATCAAGCGAGAAGAATGCCCTGAATAGTTTGCTGGTGGGGCTTGGCATGTGTCCTGAGCCAGACTCTACAAAATGCTTCCATGAGAATAGAGGGGCTGCAGAGACAGGAAGGAGAGAGAGTGGGTGTGGGTGAGGACAAGCCACCCTATTGTTCGCCACCGGCACAGCCACACTCTTTTGATTGTGATAGAAGCCAGGGGGAAAAAATGGGACAATTTAGATCCAGTACAGAAAGTAAAATATTTTTTGCCGGGTGCAGTGGTTCACACCTGTAATCCCAGTGCTTTGAGTGGTTGAGGCAGGAGGATTGCTTGAGCCCAGGGAGTTACAGACTAGCTTGTGCAATATAGCAAGACTTTGTCTCTACAAAAAAATTTTTTAAATTAACTGGGTATGGTGGCACATGCCTATGTCCTAGCTACTCGGGAGGCTGAGGCAGAGGATTGCTTGAGTCCAGGAAGTCAAGGCTGCAGTGAGCTATGATCATGCCACTGCACTCCAGCCTGGGAGATAGAGTGAGTCTCTAAAAATAGATAGACGAGATGGATAGATAGATAGATAGACAGATAGAATAATTTTTGACTGCCATCTCCTCCAATTTCTTTTTTTTTTTTTTTTGAGTTGGAGTTCCACTCTGTCACCCAAACTGGAGTGCAGTGGCATGCTCACGGCCACCCCAGTGTTGACCTGCTGGGCTCAGGTGATCCTTCCGCCTCAGCCTTCCAAGTAGCTGGAACTACAGGCGTGTGCCACCTGGCCTGGCTAATTTTTCTTGATTTATTGTGGAGATGAGGTCTCACCAAGCTGCCCAGGCTGGTCTTAAACTCCTAGACTCAGACAATCCTCTCACCTTGGCCTCCCAAAGTGCTGGGATTATAGGTTTGAGTTACCTTGCCTGGACCTTTAATTTCTTTAATATGTATATTCTTTATATGTATAGCCCTTTATAATTTATGTATTGCATTTCTATACACGATCCCATTCTATCTTTTCAAAAGGCTTGCCGAGTCAGTTCATTCCCACATTACAGATGAGGACACTGAGTCCCAGAAAGGTAAAATGGTCACAGATCAAGTAAAGGCAAGCCAGGAAGCACCTAAGGCAACAGTTCTTTGGGTGGAGGTCTTTCTGATATTCCTGCTGCTTTTCATTTCCATTTCTGGCCTCAAGAGTGGAGAGCAGAAATTTGTTGGAAGATCCAAGTATGCTAAGCCTTTGGAGAGCTACTTACCTCTAAGCACTGGTGTCCACTGCTTACCTCAAATTACAGCTTGCTTAAGGAATATAGTACAGGAAGAGAAGTTCCCCCATGCAGGGGGGGAGAGAGGAAGAAGGATGGGTACCAGTCATTCTGATGTTCTCCTAAAAAGCAAGACTGCACTTCATAAAAATCTCCACCTCACTTTCTTCGTCCCCATTGCTCCTAAGAGAGACTGGGGTGAAGTAGTGCTCTAGAGAGTTTTGGACACTAATGTTCAAGTTACCTGACTCCTTTTGCCTAGGAATACACCAGCCAGAGTAAACATTCAACACATCTCTAAAAGGTTCTGACATGCTTCTCCATGGTTTAGCTTGGTGTGGAGTTTCCAGTGAATGCCCAGGCATCTAGCATCTGCATTTCAGGACTTTGAGCCAAGAGGTAGCCCTCTCCTCCAGGAAAAAAAAAAATCAAGTTAAGGTAGATATTGATATAAGAACACAATGTCTAATTTTCCAGTCTGCTACAGTCTTTCAAATTTTAGTTGTCTTGTTCTTCAAAAATAGTCATAATAATCCACATGTGTTGACGAGCCTGCCCTTGGGCATATTGTCACCTTGGGATTCCAAATTCAAAAGTATCCTAGATGAGTGATTCTTAAACATTTTTACTGCAGTTCACTTAAGCAGGGCAGAACATGTCTGCCACCCACTTAACCTCACCCATTTTCATTTCCCCTCCAAAAAGAAAGAAAGAAAGAAAGAAAGAAAACAACCTGAAAAGGTTCAAAAGAAGAAAGTAATTTTAGTATTCAGCATGTGAATAATTCAAGTTAGAGCATCAATATAAAAAATTATAAATTAAAGCTATTGTTGGTACAAATAGTCATCATTATGTATTGTAGAACTAATCAACTGATCTACAAAAAAGGGGCCCATCCTGAAGTTAGACTAGCAGAAATTTATACGAGAAAGCAGTAACAGTGAAAAATGACAACCAATACTTCTCATTTCCACTTTAACATATAAAGAGCTTCAAAGTTATCACTCACCCTCACTACAACAAAAACACTGAACAAGCTGAAAATCAATCACTTTTCTTAATCTTATCAAAGAATTGAAGCCACAGGACAAATTTGCACTCCCCCTCCCCAAATTGGAGAGACTGGCAAATATAGAGAATACAGATCAGCTTATTGAAGCCAAAGGTGCTGGAATCTGTAATGGGTAGAAAGACTTAACTGGTAATTTCAACGAATTGCCAGAGGCTGAGTGTGGACTAGCTTTAGAGTTAAAAACTCCTAGGGATAAGAGTTACATTAAATTTCTTGCCAGAAACCATGGAAGCAAGAAGACAGTGGAGTGAAATAGTTAAATGGTTGAAAGAAAAAAGCTGCCAACCTAGAATTTTATATCCATAAAATTGTCCTTCAAACATGAAGGAGAAATAAGACCCGCTAAGGCAAACAAAAACCAAGGAAATCTGTTGCCACTAGACCTGCTTTGGAAGAAATATTTTTTTAAAGTCCTTCAGAGAGAAGGAGAATCAGGTCAGAAGCTCAGATGTACATAAAGGAAGAAAGAGCATAAAAGAAGGAATAAGCAAAGGTAAAATAAGATCTCTATTTTAAAAATTTCTATCTAATTTAACAGGTAGCTGTTCAGTAATAATAGTGGCAATATATTGGATGACTATAGCATATGGGTATATGGGATGAATGGAAGCAATGTTATAAGAGATGAGAAGGAGAAATGTTTAAAACTTGGTTATAAGCCCAATGCTCTATTCAAGAAATGTCAATAATGTTATTTGAAAGTGGACTTAGATTAGTTGTAAATGTATATTGCAAACTTTAGGGTAACCACTAGAATTTTTTAAGGAATATAATTGATATGCTAAAAGAGGTGAGAAAACAAAATTCTATAAAATGTTCAACTAAAGCCAGAGGAGGAGCTGGGTGTGGTGGCACATGCCTGTGGTCCCACCTACCACCCAGGAGGCTGAGGCAGAAAAATGGCTTGAGCCTAGAAGTTTAAGCCCAGGCTAGGAGACATAATGAGACCCTATATCTTTAAAAAAAAAAAAAAAAAGGCATAAAAATTGGGAAATTAAAAAAAAAATAAAAGTGCAATAAACACAAAACAGTTGAAAACATGATAGATATTAATCCAATGATATCAGTAATCACTTTAAATGTGGATTAGTTAAACATATCAGTTAAAAGACAGAGGGTATCAGAGTGGATTAAAAAACAAAACCTAACTATATAACAAGAAGCTCGTACAAAATATAAAGACACAGATAGATTAAAAGTAAAGGGATGGATAAAGAGATGCCTTGCTAACATGAATCAGACAAGATTGGGTGCATTCAGGATGGTATGGCTGTAGACCATGCTAACACTAATCAAAAGAAAGCAAGCATAGCTATCTTAATTTCAAACAAAAAAGAATTCAGAGCAAAGAAAGTCTCTTTAACAGAGATGAAGGGGAACATTACATCATAATAAAGGCGTCAATTCTCCAGGAAAATGTAACAGTCCTTAACATGTATGCACCTAACAGCAGAGCATCAGAATACATGAGGCAAAAACTGACAAAACTGCGAGAAGAATAAACAAATAAACCATTATGGTTGTAGAATTCAACACCCATCTATCAGTAATTGACAGATTCAGCAGGCAGAAAATCAACAAAGACACAGTTGAACTGAACAGCACATTATTTGACTGGATCCAATTGACTCTTTCGAGTTAATAGTCTCTTTAGACTACTTTAACCAACAACAGCAGAATGCTCATTCTTTTCAAGCTCATATGGAACATTCATCAAGATAGACCACATTCTGGGCCATAAACATATCTTTATAGATTTAAAAGAATAGAAATCATACAAGATATGGTCTACCCACACTGGAATTAAACTAGAAGCAATAACAGAAAGATAACTGGAAAATTCCAAATATTTAGAGATTAAACAATATCTAAATCACACATGAGTGAAAGAACTATTAAGAGAAATTTTTAAATATTTTGAACTAAATGAAAATGAAAATTCAGTTTATCAAAATTTCTGGAATGCAGTGAAAACAGTGCTTAGAGAGAAATTTACAGCGTTGAATGCATGTGTTAGAAAAGAGAAAGATCTACAGTCAACAATCTAAGCTTCCATTTTAGGAAGCAAGAGGAAGAACTGCAAAAAGAATTCTAAGGCAATAAGAAAAAATAGATAATAAAAATGTTAGAGCAGAAATAAATAAAATTGGAAATAGGAAACAATAGAGAAAGTCAATGAAACTAAAGCTAGCTCTTTGAAAAGCTTAATAAAAATCGATGAACCTCTAGCCAAGCTAACTAAGAAAAACAGAGAGAAGACATACATTACTAACATTCTAAATGAAAGAGGGGGCTGGGCATGGTGGCTCATATCTGTAATCCAGCACTTTGAGAGGCTAAGGTGGGAGGATTGCTTGAGCCCAGGAGTTTGCAACCAGCCTGGGTAGCATAGTGAGACACTGTCTCTACAATTTTAAAAAAATGTGGTGGGGCTCAGAGGCTTAGCCTATAATTCCAGCGCTTTGGGAGGCCAAGACAAGTGGATTGATTGCCTGAGCCTATGGGTTTGAGACCAGCCCAGGCAACTTGGCGGGACTTCATCTCTACAATAAATCAAAAATAAGCCAGGTGTGGTAGCGTGCACTTGTAGTTCTGGCTACTTGGATGATTGAGGCAGAAAGATCGCTGGAGCCCAGCAGGTCAACACTGGGGTGGCCGTGAGCATGCCACTGCACTCCAGCCTGGGCGACAGAGTGAGACTCCAACTCAAAAAAAAAAGAAAAAGTGGTCATTACTATCAATCTCATGGACATTAAAAGGATAATAAAAGAATATTTTTTCCATGTTTCTCTAAAACATTTATTGATCAATGATTTGATTTTATTAAATTAGGAGCCTATTAAGTAGTTCTATTAATAAAAGACTATTATGAACAACTCTATGCCTACAAATTTGATAACTTGGATGACATGGACTAATTCCTTGAAAAGCACAAAGTACCACAATTAACATGGGAGAAATAAATCGTCTGACTAGGACTGTTCCTACTAAATTGTGTGGAGATTACTCAAAGAACTAAAAGTAGATCTCCCATTTGATCCAGCAATCCCACTACTAGCTATCTACCCTAAGGAATGAAGGTTGTTATAAAAGTCACCTGCACCCGCATGTTCATTGCAACACAAAGTTTTTCTATGACATTTTGGAAACGGCAAAATTATAGAGATAGTAAGTAAAAAGAAGTTTGGGCGCAGAGGAAGGATGGATATGTGAAACACAGAGCATTTTTAGGGTAATGAACCTATTCTATATGATATTGTAATTGTGAATGCATGTCATTATGCACTTTTAAGAACCCATAGAAGTTATCTATTCAACAGGAAGATAAATCTATATGTAACCTATAGACTATAGTGAATAATAATTTGTCAATATAGACCAATATAGACTGGCGCAGTGGCTTATGCCTGTAATCCCAACACTTTAGGAGGCAGAGGCGAGAGGATTGCCTGAGCTCAGGGGTTCGAGACCAGCCTGAGCAACATGGCAAGACCTTGTCTCTACAATAAATCAGAAAATTAGCTGGGCATCATGGCACACACTTGTGTTTCCAGCTACTAGGAAGGCTGAGGCGGAAGGATCACCTGAGTCCAGCAAGTCGAGACTGCAGGAGCTGTGAACATACCAGTGCTCTCCAGCCTGGGTGACAGAGTGACTCGGACTATATATATATATATATATAAATAAAAAGAAGTTTATATATATATATATATTCATTAATTGTAACAAATGTACCACAGAATTAATAATAGGGAAACAGTGAGGGTAGGGTCGGAGTAGGTATATTGTACTCTATGTACTAATTGCTCAATTATTCTGTAAATCTAAAACTATAAAACATCTATTAATTATTTCTAAAATTGTTGACCAACTCAAGACAACACTGATGTTAAACTGGTGACAACTGAGAGCTGAGAGAATTCCAGCTGCCTCTGTGTGCACAGACCTGGTGGCAGCTTTGTGTGTTCCCCAGGGTTACACAGCAATCAGGCTTCCTAGTGGAATTCCAATCGGGGTTCTTGGTAACTCCACTTCTTGAAAACAAGTTTTGAGGAACCCTTAATAATTCACTTTCTGGGTAAGTAGTTTTCTGGTAAGAAGTCCATGTAGACCTGTGTTAGTAAAAGGAGCACTCAATGGAAATGCATATGACTTTCCCATAACAACCAAAATGGGACTTGGCATTTTGAATTACATCCATAACCTGCTGAAGGACTCCCTCCTGGAGCATATGTCATAAGTCACATCTAGTAAAGTAATCACTGCTCTAAATAAGCAAGAATGGAAGTTCTGCTCATTCTAACAGAATCCTGAGGGTATTTCTTCAAGCAACTGTTGAGCTGTTTCAGAAATTGGAACTCTGTTAAACCCAAGCCTCAAGGCAGTGGTTTCATCCTGGTGCCTCATTTCTTCCATGTTGCTTCTGTGACCCCATCTCTAGTAACAGGCAGACTTTACAGAAAAATGCCCATTTTCGGTAACTCTGCCTTCCCCGTCTTTTGTGCTGTGCCCCATAGACTGCTCTTCTGTCCACGCCGGACTTTCAGTCTCCAGTTACCCTCAAAGAAAAAGTGACCAAAAGGGACATCTTTCAGGCCTGCAAAAAGTCCACTGGGGCTTGCGACCAGACAGGCCACAGCAGGAACTGACCAGCCTCGGGAGTGGGGCAAGCAGCCAAGACAGCAGTGTGGACCTTATCAGCAGAACACGTGAGTTCCTTGAGGGTCGCATTCTGGGGAGCATCCTGCTGGTGGGTCTAGATGGGCTCAGCTGGGCAGGGAGATTCCCTGAAAACTATGGCCAATGCCCCGTGTGGTTCAGCCTTGCTTCTTGGGCCCCTCTGCTCTGCTTCCATAGCTGACCAGCCTTCCTGCTCATTGACACTTCTGGTCAGACCGAGGCCCTCTGTCTCTCCCTGGGGACTTTGAGACCGCCACTCTGGTCCATTCTGTGTTGATTTTATGGTTTAATTCTCAGAATTATATCCAAATTATTTCCAAATTCCTAGGGGCCACACAGCCAATGCCTTAAGAACCAGTAACAAACATGACTGGCACAAGGCATCATGCTCCAGAAGTAACCAGAAGTACTTATTGCATTACCCCCACCCTCCCCTCTCTCCTCAATGGAACTTAAAGGCATGGTACAGAATTGTTTAGTCACCCTGCATTGTAGCTTGCAGGCCCCTAGGAAACTTTCTTTCAGGACTACAGAGCCCCCGAGGTTCTCCTCTGCTCCCATGGAAATCAGCTCTGGGCTAATTAAAAATCAGTCTTTTGCTCTTTCTTGTGGAAAGAAAATGATCAGTCTTAAGGGAGTAAAAAGGGACTGGATCCTTAGAGCACAGCATGGCGTTTCATTCTTTCTAGACTTCACTAATGTTTCTGGGGACATGATTTCACCCTCAGCCTACTCCAAACCTGCCTAGTAAGTAGTAGTTAATTGATTTCCACTATATATTCCTCTGTCCTAAGATGGCAACATTAGTTTATTTTATCATCTAAACCTGCAAAAGAGTGTGGAAGGCCTTGACTGTGTCTTGTGAGAAATGAGTTCACAAAGCCTGCTGACAAAGTCAACAGCCACAGTGGTTTTTCTGCAGCCCCGGGGTCTGAGTTGATACCTGCCATTCTTCTTGCGGCAGTAGAAGGCTCAGTTGTCAGTCATCCACTTGTTCCAAGCAGAACAGGCATCGCGTGTGTGATGCAGGTATCAGCCCTCCTCTGCCGCATCACAAGGTCAGTGGCAATGTCTTGGAGAAAGGAAAGTATAACAGTGCCAGCATCATTTTACCTGCATCATCTGGATAATTGCCTAAATCTCTCATTTCTTCTTGTGGTTGAGCACAGGATTTTCCTCTGCGAGAGTCCTGTCTCCTGTGAACTCATCCAGACAGCCTGGTCACTTAGCCCGGTGAAAACTCCCACTTCAGAGGAAAGGGGGATCCTGCAGAATATGGGGTGGTCTGGGCTGGGTGGGGTGGCTAGACATGGCTGGCCTGAGTGTCAGACAGGCTGCCGATGAAGGACTGAGAAGAGACCCCCTCAGTTCCCGGTTTGCAGAATAATGGCAAGGAGTCACAAGACAATACATGTGAAGGGGCTTTGTACCTGTGAAAGCACTTTCAGAATGATAGTTTAATATAATTTTGTCAACCACATGTGTAGTATTAGTAATTATAACTATAAATTTGAAGCAAAGACCACACTACTCACTTTTATTCCTTTCAGAAAGACCCATGAGGGTGCCTTTAAAATACACTTTAGGGTTCCTAACCATCAGGATAGTTGTGAAATACGTAAGCCAGGCCAGGCATAGTGGCTCACACCGATAATCCCAGCACTTTGGGAGGTGTAGGCAGGAGGATCACTTGATCCCAGGAGTTCAAGACCAACCTGGGCAACATAGTAAGACCCTGCCTCTACAAAAATAACTTAAAAATTAGCCGGTTGTAATGGTGTGTGCCTGTAGTCCCAGCTACATAGGGGGCTGAGGCAGGGAGATTGCTTGAGCCCAGGAGCCTGAGATTGCAGTAAGCTATGATTGCACCAGTGAATTCAGCTAAGGTGACAAAGCAAGACCTGTGTCTAAAAAAAAGAAAAGAAAAAGAAATACACAAGTCAGCTGCCTGACACATTCAATGTGGAATGGGCTTGGGTATCTGTACTTTTCTGTTAGGTTCCATGTGTACCTAGTTAAAGATACCCTGTCTCCAGTGTTGCTAAAACTTTTTTTAAAAGATCCACTGTCCCACCGGGCATGGTGGCTCACACCTATAATCACAGCACTTTGGGAGGCCAAGGTGAGAGGATTGCCTGAGCCCACGGGTTCGAGACCAGCCTGAGCAACTTGGCAAGTCCTCACTTCTACAATAAATAAAAAAATTAGCTGGGCGTGGTGGTACATGTCTGTGATTCCAGCCATTTGGAAGGCTGAGGCAGAAGGATCGCTTTAGCCCAGCAGGTCGAGGCTGCGGTTGGCCATAAGTGTGTCACTGTACTCCAGCCTGGGTGACAGAGTAAGACTCAAAGAAAAAAAAAAACAAAAACAAAAGATCCACTGTCTTAAAGAAATTTGCTGCTTCCTTGAACCACATTCAAACCTACAGAACCTTGTGAAGTTCCTGCTGTCACTCCAGTTGAGGTTCAGGGAACAGCTGGTCCTCAATCCCACAGCAGGTCAGGGCAGGATAGAGGCCAGCCCAGCCAGACCTCCTGGTCCTTCTCATGCTGGTTCCAGCCCTGTACATGGAGGCCAGCCCCTTGCTTCCAAGTCACTTTCTGGATCATCTTAGAGCCCCTTAGAGAAAACCTTTTGCATCCAGGGAAGACTGGACCACAAACAGAGTTGTATTAGTGGTGGTCTGCACACAGAATTATGGGAGGAGAAACAGGAACACATACCAAGGTGGTGAGCAGTGGGAGGGGGAGTGACACAGGCTTCCTAGAGCAGGTCATACCTGAGGTGGGTCTTAAATAATAAGTAAAAATTAACTATTCCTTTAGGAGACTGAGGCAGGAGGATCACTTGAGGTCAGGAGTTCGAGACTAGCTTGGGCAACATGATGAGACCCCATCTCTACAAAAAAGAAAAATAAATAAATAACCAGGCATGATAGCATGAGCTTACAGTTGTAGCTACCCAGGAGGCTGAAATGGGAGGACCACTTGTACCCAGGAATTTGAGGCTGCAGTGAGCTATGATCAAGGCATTGTACTCTTGCCTGGGTGATAGAGTGAGACCCTATGTCTTAAAAAAATAAAGAATTAAAAATAGTTTTTAAAATTAGCTTAAAAAGGCAACTGAGGCAACTGGGAGAATTAGAGACACTTTATACATCTTTTCTTTTCTAGTTTTTTTGTGGTATAATTTACTAATAAAATTATATATATTTAAGGTCTACAACATGATGATTTGATATATGTTTACATTGTGAATCGATGACCACAATCGAATTAAACACATCTATCACCTCACATAGTTACCTTTCTGTGTGTGAGTGATAAGAATACTTACAATCTCTCTTAGCAAATTTAATGTATATACGACAATATTAACTATAGTCACCTTGCTAGATCTGCAGAACATTTTTGTCTCTGACCACATCTCCCATTTCCCACCCCCAGCCCCTGATAAACACTTTCTACTCTCTGTTTCTGTGAGTTCAATTTTTTTAGATTCTACATGTAAGTGAGATTATGCAGTATTTCTGGCTTATTTAACTTAGCCTTATGTCCTCCATTTTCTTCCATGTTGTCACGAATGGTAGGATTTCCTTCTTTTATGGCTAAATAATAATATTTCCTTGATAAAGCATTTTCTTGATAATTAGTGATGTTGAGCACTTTTTCATGTACATGTTGGCCATTTGTATATCTTTTTTAGGAAAATGTCTTTTCTGTTTCTTTTTTTTTTTTAAGATAGTGTCTTGCTGTGTTGCCTAGGCTGGACTCAAACTCCAAGGCTCAAGTGATTCTCCTCCCTCAGCTTTCAAGTTACTGGGACACAGACACATACCACTATAACCTGGCTTCCTTTGCTTATTTTTAAATTGGGTTATTTATTTTTTTCTTATTGAGTTATATGAGTTTTTAAAAATATATATTTTTAATATTACACTCTCATCTCTGAATAACTTGCAAATATTTTCTCCCATTCTGTGGGTTGTCTTTTCATTATGTTCACTGTTTTCTTTATCATGCAGAAGCTTTTCAGTATGATGTTGTCCACCAGTTTATTTTTGCTTTTGTAGCCTATGCATTTGGTGTTGTGTCTAAAAAATCATTGCCAAAACCAACAGGCTTTCTTCCTGCTTTCTCTAAAAGTTTTACAGTTCAGGTTTTTATTTCAAGTTGATTTTTTGTGAGTGGTGTAATATAAGGGTCCAATTTTATTATTTTGCACGTGAATACTTGTTTCCAAACACCAGTTATTCAAGAGACTACTCTTTTCCCATTATGTATTCTTGCCACCCTTGTCAGATATTAGTTGACCATATATATGTGCATTTTTTCTGGACTTTCTATTATATTACATTGGTCTATGTGTCTGTTTCTATGCCAGTACCATACTGTTTCAATTACTATGATTTTGTAATATAGTTTGAAATGAGGAAGTATATATTTTCGCAATTAATCCTCACACCAACACTTTTTTTTCCTCTTTTAATTTTTATTTAAAATTGTGAGGTACAATTCAGGGCTAGGTATACAAATATTCACCGTGCAGGTACCCTATTGATGAGGTGTGCCCCCCCTTCCCCAGGCAGATATCGATTACTATCAATCCCACCTCCCCACCCCCCATCCCCTTCCCCGCAATTTCCCCCCACTTTCAATCCTTTTCTTATAGTAATATGGTAGTTGTTCAAGGTCCACTTATAAGTGAGAACATGTGACACTCAGCTCTTTGTTTCTGGGAAAGATTACTCAGTATTATAAACTCTAATTCCCTCCAGGTTGCTGCAAAGTTCATGATTTTGTTCTTCTTTATGGCTGCGTAGTATTTACATTGTGTATATGTACCACATTTTTAAAAAATCCAGTCCTCTTTTGATAGACAGCACGGTTGGTTCCATATTCTTGCTATTGTGAACAATGCCGCAATAAACATACGTCACACCAACACTTGAAGGGAGATATTATGATCCCTATCTCCAGATCAGGAAACTAAGGATCAAAGAGATGGAGCATGATGTAGCTTGATAATT